GTACATTCCTATCCTAGATATGTTTGAGAAATGGCCTTTGAAAATTTTTATTGAAAAAACATGTATGGTGACCATACGTAGAAGGCAAATAATTATAATTCAATAGATTAAATAATCTGAGAAATACATGATTGTGGAATTTTTCTCATAATTTATTCTCTTGAAGGAGATCTTTGAATCTCGTGGACACAAATTAGTTTAAAATTTGCCGACAAACATTTTATCGTTCTTTATTCGTTTGTAGAATTGTGAATTGTGGAAGTTCTTTCCATTAATATATTCTTGAATATATTCTTGGTCAAAATAATATAAAAAACCTGTTTCTTCATATTAGTGCAAAATGGAGTAGAAAAATTTCGACAAATGAAATAAATTCTATAGGAGTAGGTAGTTATTTTGGCAGTGTAATATTTAACTATCACAATTGATATCAAACATTTTTTCATAGATTGGTAAAAACTTTGCAATTTTTGTTTTTTGCTTCGTAATCCAAATTCAAAAAAATATATTACATGAAAGTATAATCTGGTTCAACTCAATTTTCAATTCATCGGCTTGTCATAAAATTCACATCGCAAAAAATTTGTATTTTTTCTATCGATATTTATATCTTGTTGTTCCTTCGAAAGCACCGAAAAATCAGTATCAGCTACATTGTTATTTGAGAAATGGTTTTATTTTTGACCTATGTATCAGAAAAATAATTTTGGAAGATGAAGAATATTGCGTTTGAAACTGTTGGAGAATTGGAAAGTTCAAAATGAACCCACCCAATTATTGGAAACTTAGCATACATTTCTCTAGCAACTATTCGCAATTTGATTTGTTGAATATTCAGAAATACAAGAAGATACATTTCACTTTGATATATTCAATGATAGATTACTAATTTTTTTTACTGATTTTTTGCTTCGTTTTTTATTTATTTTTTTCTACTAATTGCCCACGATAGCAAAATATATTTTGGATATTTGGCTTCCAACATGAGGAATGAGTAATTGAGGAATGAACAATTTCAATGGAATTAAGAAAAATCCGCGTTTATAAATGAATACTTTTCTTCAAAATACTAGGTTACGTCCAAAGTGAGTGGGTCTATTCCACCCTCCACCGCAACCCGCAAGGGTTTATTGTGGCTCACACCTAATCACATTCGACCAAATAAACCCAGCTTCTCAACGAAGCCGATCAGTTTGTATGGTGAGTGGTCTTTCTGGTGAGATGGTAAGAATATGGCTCTGCCGAACTCTAAAAACCTGATTCGGTCCTTAGCGGAGCAGGCAGAAAGTATGGGCTCTGCTGTTTCATCATTTTCCAAACAGAGGCGACACACACTGTCTTCCGACAGTCCGAGTCTCTGCATATGATGATACAAATGGTAGTGATCTGTAAGAAGAAGAAGATTCTGCCAGAAGTCAATTAATCTTCTTGCCATCTAGGTGTTCAATGTTTGTTTGGCAAAGTCTAAAGCGATGCCAATGACAGGTTCTGGTTCGATGAAGCTACTTGCAGCACTCTCCTTTGCAAGGGAGTCAGCAGCCTCATTGCCTTCCAGGCCAGTATGGCTGCGAAAATACTAACTTCATTTTGGTATACCAAATATCAATGATATTATACAAAAATATTTTTTTAGTATAAACCTAAACAAATACCACTCATAACTTGGATGAAATTCTCCACTAGATTTTTTTAGTGCTAATACTAATGGCGAATTTGAAAGAGGTATATTTTACTATCTAGGTTTTTTGATTTCAAGTTGCTCAAAATATCTTTTCAAAGTTGTCATCACCAATTGAAATGATTGAAAATTTTCTGCTTTCCATCCTCCCTTCGCCTTATTTTTATTGGCTATGCCTGGTATTCAATAATAGTGGTTAAGATAAAAAAAGGAGAAATTGAATGCATGAAAAGAGTAATCGAAAATGTGGTCCTAGCTGATATTGAGAAATTTGTAATTGCAATATATCTTCAAAACTGTGACTTCATCTAAAAAAATACGACCTGTATGCTGAAACAGACAATTCAATATAGCTTCACTATTTCAAAGAACAGTTTTGTTAGAATGTCAAAATTAGCAGACTTTCTGTCCGAGCTAAGTATGAAAATTATCAATTTCTGATTTTATGAGGCAAAAATTCACAAGTACTTCTTCCTTAGAAGCATCTTTAAAATCAACTTTTCAGTTTGCCCGTTATTATTAAAAGTTCAATGATTTTGATTGATTGTAGTTATAGAAGATGGGATCATCAAGATTCTTGAATTCTCTGATGGAAAATATCATTTTGAAAATGTAATTTTAAATATACATTATCTAAACAAAACTCGTGTTTCGGAATGAATCACCACTATTCACGAAGTAATCACTGACAGCTTCTAGCGATACTTGTTTTTTTCAAACAATTCGCCATGACTAGCTAGATTTAATCTTCAACATGGTTTAATAATCATATTCACCGTGATTTATTTCATCTACGGTATCCAATAAACTGCTCAATATGAAGCGAAATACTATATTTATTCTAATGCCGAAGGCGGTTACTATTCAAAACAGACAATTGCCGCTCTAATGATTTTTTCATCTAAGACGCACACCATCAAGGCGACTGTAGCTTAAAACATCCGAACGTCGTGGCGCCCGAGTTTAAGGCGTCGTCAAATAGATGGCGTTTGTGCTCAGATATTGTATTGTATCAACAACATATAAGAGTCATGCGAAAATATTGTTCTTGAAAATTTTTATTAGTATTATTTTAACGGACGAAAGATGTATTAATAATAATACTGATGTGGACATTATTTATATGAAAATATTCTTTCAAATTGGAATGTAACTGTTATGGTGAACTATTATTCATTTTCATTTATTCTATATTAGAACTTTACAGGCATTTCATATAGATGCGTCATCGATAAAGTTCTAGTATTCTTTTTCTTTTACAAGTCAAAAACTTAGTCAAAGCAGATAAGGTTAGCTAGAGCTTTCGATTGGATGACAGCTTGCATTCGATAGGTAGGAGAGCTACACAAACGTAAGTCATACATCAATCAATTTATTTATTGTAAAGTTCCTATACGGATTCTAGTCTTTTATTCGAAATAAATAGTTGTTATCACAACTAATGAACTGTGACTATTCAAATTTTTCAGAGATGTAATTTTGATATCCTACTTGTGAATTTTCAACACAAATCTCAAATGGTTCTGTCTGATGTTCCTAATATCGAAGAATTTAAATTCCCAGATATTGGAATTGACATTTGGAAATTTAATTTTAATATTGAAGAAAAATACTTCTTTCTGGTGGATATCATAGTTTTTATATAATTCTTTCTGAGAAATATCATCTTCCACAATCCCAAAAAATTAAAATTGAAGTAAAGAACTTGATATAGGTGTGGAAAGGGCAAACTTCTAGTTCATTCCGATAATTCCTATGTAAATTCAATGTATTTTTTATACAAAGAAAAATGCATCAATCCATCAGAAATGTTGTCGTATTTTTCTCATCAATATGAGTTTCTATGTAATAGCACGATACTCATCTTAACGTTTCAGAGGCCAAAACTTGCCTTCGTCCTCAGAACCTGAAAAATCAACTAAGTATAACTTGCACTTTTTCCTTATTTCAATTCATTTTTAAACTTTCCCGATAGATGTCATAAGAAGAAAGTATTTACAAAATACGACTCATTTTGGTTGCACAAATTGATGACGCATGTTTAAAGATCAATACTGTACATATAATACAGGGTTCTTGAATATATCAAAGAAGTCAGTTATTCCTTATCTACTTTTTGAGTAAAACTTCCATTTCATCAAATGTAAGTAATCGATCTATGTTCAAAGTTCAATGGAAAATGTATTTTACAAACAAAACCACGAGAACTTTTGAAAATTTTCCAATGAAAACATTTATTTTACGGAAAAGCGCAAGCTCGACAGTCGAGTTCTTAAGACGCTCTGAAGCGATTAATATTAGATTTCAAGCGCCGTAGATTATAGGTACTCAATGTTTGTTATCTTGTTTCAGTCAGACTTATGGGCCTAAGTCCCATTAGTTCTTAGGTTTCTGTGGCGGGGCGGCAGGGGATTGCATGGTCCTCTGTCGTCTTCTTTTGGCTCTTGGCTTTGTGTGTAGAAGTCGCAGCGTACTTCTTTGGCTTTGCGGCCATTTAGGCACTGTTTCTTGTTTTATTTTTCGGCAAGCATGGATTGCAATACCGGAAACTTCACTAGAAGCGCCTGCAACTGCCCTAAGACCGTTGGGAGACTTTCGAGAGAGCTGCAGCCATTCTCTGGCGATGAGACGGTCCTCGCGTACGAGACGTCGCTCCTGATTGAGTTTTTTCCGACAGGCCTTGGGTTTGTGGTCTATCTGTTTTCGTTCGGGCTAACTGAGGCCCTTTTATTTTCAGGGCGTTCTGGGCACCCATGGAAGTTCGCTGGGTGCTCTCTCCCTTGCAGTTAAAGCATCGCAATGGCAAGTTTTTAGGTCTTTTGCATTCCTTGGTCATGTGCCGTCCGGCACATCTGACGCAGACTGGTACTGCTTTACAGTTACGTTGCGTGTGGCCGAACTTTTGACATCAGGGCAGGGTAATGTTACAGATGTTCTCGGCTTCTGTGTTTCAACGCTAACGCGCACGTTTTGAATTTCGGTGATCTCGTAAATTCTGTTTTGGCTCCTTGGAACTAAAACATGTACGAACGGTATCGGTACTCAGGCGGGCTATGGAAAGGATCTCAAATCCGTTGCCCTGGAGTTCGGTCTTGATGTCGATACACTCTATAGACTCCGGGACCACGCGAAAAACTACTCTGGGTACTGAGTAACTACTTTTCATTGTATAGGTATGATAGGGTATCTTCTCTTGATCGATGATCCGAGTGATTCTCCTATAATCATCTGTATTTTTAAGGTGGACTTTAGTTCCATCCGTTGTATTCACCGCCCTCAATATGGAGATGTTTTGTGCAGCGGCAATCGTGTTAAACGCTTTTCACTTTTCTTTTGCTCGGATGGTTTTAGGTGGAGGCTTATCCACTTTTTTGCGCATTTCTGCTCGGTTGTTTTTCGGGGCGTCTGTTACTAGTTCTTCGTCGCCTACTTCCATTGAGTCAGGTGGCGGGACTTCTGTTTCCTCTGTATTTGCCGACTCAGTTTTCTGAGAGGGCTTTTGAGTTTGATCTTCCAGTGCCACGCCCGGCTTTTGTGGTAAGGCGGGTGTGGTTTTATTTGATTTTGGCTTATTGGTTCATTTAGTCTGGGAAAAGCTGGGTTTTATCTGTTTGATTTGTTGAGCCGTTTATGGCTCTTGTTTTTTTTTGGGCCTTTGCCGCTTGGCTTTCTTCGCCCGACATAATATCGTCGCTGTCCAGATCGCTGATGTCCGAGTCAGAGTCGATAAGGTAATGAATTTAAGATTTTTTGTTTCTCAAATTCAAGTCCATTCTTTTTGCAAAGAATTTATAAGCTTCTACTAGTTCGGTACTACTTATATCATAGTAATCTATAACAGTTGATATTATAGCCAGACCTGCTTTTTTTGGCTCTTTACGAACTTTCGTAAAATTGAAAATCGTCTCTATAACTTGCTCCATATCGAAAGATATATGCTACTATGTATGTGTATGGTATATTATCATCTATTGTATGTATGTATATTATGTTATAGGTACTCATTTGGTTATACTCATAAAATTAAAATATTATGAGGTATTAGGTATAGTTATGCAAATTATAGTTTTTCGAGTAGGTTCTTCTGACACAAGTATCCAACCTTCCTTCAAAGTCAATGACTATCAAGCTTGCTGGTGATATCTGGGCCTTCAACTAACCGGATTATAAACCCAAATAGAATATGGATATGCTTAGGGAAGAAGTTACATCTGCGTGAGCAATATTCTGGAGAAGGCTCAATTTGAGCTTTATAAATAGCGTCTGGTTGTCTTGGTTATTTTCAGGAACGATATTCGTTTCCAGTTTGACGTCCAATAGCAAAATCGTGTGTCCTGACATTTTTGTGCCCAATTCTGTCACAATTACATCCTTAGAGAAAACTGGTGCCTGAATTTTGTTGGCATTCAATTCAGTTTCTTTACTGTCACTTCAACTCATATTTTCATTGAGAAATGAAACTTCTTGTTGTCAGCTAAGACGTACTTTGCTGATGTTCGGGCATCTAAATTCAGTAAAGGGACAACGATAGATCCCTGTGGAACACCAGCATTAAAGGTATGACTATCCAAGAAAGAACCATCGATTTTTATTTGTAAAACCTTCATGACGATACTTGCAGAGGTCTTGGGAATATGAAGTTCAACAATCGGAGACTCTCCGTGTTTCTAGTTTGGATTACTGAATGCGATGTAAGTCGTAAATTAAATACTATGATTTGTATATTTTTTGTTGAGAACCAAATATTGTTTTATTAAAAAACAAACAATTAAGTTTCATATCTACATTTTTTTTAAATAATAACAAACTGGATCATTCAATTTGTCATTTAACATCACTCATCGAGCAATGTCTGAATAAAAATGATATAGAGACAATAATCACAAAAACTAACATTTTTTCAACACAATAATAGGAAAATCACCATCAACTTATAAGAGTTTACTATCAAACTGATTCGATGAACATCTATATAGTTATTTTCGAGTTATATCTTTGTAGTTTTCAGTTTAATTCGTATGCATTTATGCAAAAACAGAAATTAGAAACCCTCTATTACACCTCCATTTCCATTTGTCTTAATCCATGAGTAGTTATACAGAAAAAAGTTGGGGCTGAACAAGTTGAATTTACGACAAATGTGGCTAATAATATCAAAAGACATAACTATGTCATGCAATTACAAAAAGTAATTTGTTCATTGTGAAAATTTTTCCGGCGAATTTATTCTCTGCAATAAAGTCGGCAAATCCTTTTGCCATTATATATGAAAGTATTTTATTATTCGATAAACATTGTATTCTATTAAACTGTCAACGATTTTAGTGATGAATGATTGTTTTCAATCGTCTAGATTCTTTTGCTGCCTTTTTCAAGTCAAGACAATCATACGCTTCTACCCACACATGTTGCCATGCCATATGTTCTCGAGGTGCAATTAAACTCTTTTTTTCTTAAGTCTAAACGACTATTATCTGCAATTAATTTTTTGAATAATGAATACCTTCGGATGTTTCTCCTTCTCCTTTATCAGCCGTACAGGAACCTATGTTTAGCTGGTACTCATATCATTATTTTTGAAAGTATTGACAAATTATCATGGGGGAGATTGCAATTAGGGTTACCAAAATTATAAGGAGATGTAACATTTGCATTTCCGTATATTTTCCCTTCCAATATGTGAAATAAGGCATGTTGAATAATTATTTTCATTGATGATATTATTCATCTATATATCAATTTTGGGACCTAGTGCAAAGATTTATCTTGTCAGATATTCAATACGTTGATATCCGTGATAGATAATGACATAAATAAAAAATCCAACCAAATGAAAATTACAAAAAAACAAGAATAACTCGATAAATTGGATACGGAAAACAGCTGAAGTGAGACAGTTGAAGTAAAACATGTATGAAAAACGCCATAAAAATGTAGCTTGAAGTACTTACAATAAATTTCATGCAAGTGAAGCAGTCATTTTGGAACTTAGCAAAACTTTGTTTTTGTAATTTGTGGAACTACGTATTAGCCAAATAATTTTCATAATTACCTGTCAAAATGCATTGCATGACTAATTTCAAACTGAAAACTATTCACAAAAAATACACATAAAACAAAAAACAACTGAACTCCGTATCCAAATCTGCTCATGAACATGCAAAAAAAAAGAGAATAGGAACATACCTGTAACTCATTGACAATTTTCTCTGTCATCAGCTTATCAGGTGAATTTTGACCGCTACTCAGCTGCTGATGCATGTTGACCATCTGCTGTTGCTGAGCTACTTGCGCGAGGGCATGCGCATGAGCAGCCTGAGCATGCGGATTCGGACTCCCCATATGAGGTGATTGCTGGGGTGGCTGTTGAGGTTGATTCTGACCATTGTTCTGCGCTTGCTGCTGGTTCATTTGCTGCTGGGCCATTTGCTGCTGTTGGGTTTGTTGCTGCTGTTGGCTTTGCTGCTGCTGGTTTTGTTGCTGAGTGGCATTTTGCTGCTGCTGCTGGACATGGGCTTGCTGACTGTTTTGCCCTTGTTGTTGATTGTTCTGCTGATTGGCCTGCTGAAGTGCAAGCGCTCCAGGAGTCACCACGTGAATTTGGCTACTGTTGCTCTGTTGGCTTGGAGAATGAGCCGGAATAGAGTTCGTTGATCCTGGCACAGGTGAATTCTGATTGGAGTTGGAAAGGTTCTGAGGCATATTCTGGGGAGGACCTCTCGCCTGGTTCCAAAAATCATTGTTCATTTTGAAAACTGGTCTATTATTAACTTCCGCCATTGGTATTTGAAGCGGTGTCAAAGGTGTCGCCCTTAAGTCCAGGGCGGTGTTTTCTTGTATTTTGAAAGAATTTTGTAGCCACTTTGCTACAAGATTCTCATGTTCTACTTTTAAGTTGCTAAGTATGTTTTGTTCCTCCGTCGTGAAAATTTTGACAGTTTATGTGACGAAGATTTCAAAAATTGCCGTCTCGTAAACGGCTAGTTCCTTGCTTTTAAAAGAGTTTGTACTATTTCTGCGTGATGTAGATATTGCACTTCAGTCTCAGCTTGATGTAAATTGGCTTCTTGTCGGTTGAGTGATTCAAAGCCGAGTGAGATGTGTGTAGGTTAGTGTATACGAGGAACTTTGAAGGGTTGATTACCTCTTTGTCGTTTCAGTTTTTTTAACTAGCAGATGTTTTATAGCTGACCCTCGCTAGGTTGCTATAATTGTAGATAGATCTGAAAACAATACTGTTATGAGAGTCCCATCATTGCATTGTTGAATAATTACACATATTCGTTTTTAATTCAAATATATATTCACAGTTAGTGAAACTCTCGATTGTAACAAAAAATATTGTAGAAATATTTTAAAAAATTGAAAATTGATTTCTACTGTAGTGATTGAATACTGAATTGAAATATCAACCAGGAATTAACTGAAAAATGTTGTTTCAACAGCACTATTGAAAATTAAGGGATGGGATATTGACAAATGCAAATCTTGTGTTCTAACACATACTATCCAAATTCTGACCATTCAGCTAAATGATATTAGAGTTTTATATAGACAATGTACTAATAGATTCTTCGAGAAAATATACAAATATATACTATTCGATTGTATCTACCATTCATATAATCTAACAACATAATTTTATATCCGAGTTTCAACAAGCCGTTAACCATTAACAACTGAAAACCATTCAAAAAAGAATGGGGGGTGAAAAAACATTAACTAACATCAAGTTCTCACTGCAAACTGGAGACGGAATACGTTACTTTGAAATAGTTTTTTAATGCTCCGAAATGTGAAATAAACATATTTTTGTATACGACAGTCGAATCTCTGATAATTTTCGTTTCGTGCAAACAGTCATCAAAAACAAATGAGTTGAATTCTGTTCCGAATCGGTATTGAGAAAATTATATTCACAACAGCATGAAAAATGTCTAGTGAACTGTCAACAGAGTGTTGACAGGATATAATAGGTGCTGATAACTTTTCTTGATTCACTTTTTGTACTCTTTTAGGAATAAATTTTCATTTTACGGATGATGAAAATTTTATTATGTTGTGAAAAAGAGCTATATAAATATATTTGATGGAAATATTCTAGAATTTTATTATTTTTGAAAATCTTATGTAAACATCGTTTATATGTTAGATGACTCTGATTGAACAATTCCAAATTCAATAACGAAAGTGATCAATGAAGTCATTTATATCTTTATCGACAGGTACAGAAACACATTTCACGATAATATCTAAAAACTTGTAACTCACGCTGGTTTTCAGTGAAATAAAGAAAGAAACTCACATATTCTGACTTAAAATATTGCACTAGCCCAATGAACAACCACCTGAGCAAACTTTTTGTAACACAAGTTCGCGCCAAAAATTTCGAAAAGAAATTGTCGGATAAAATCACTCGATTATTCAGTAAAACTCCAGGAAATAGTATAAGATATCCTCCGATGTGTTTGATCAAATTTCTCCAGATAAAAATTTTTTTTTCAAGTTAAAACCGACACTTCGCGTTTCAAATGTGAGCGTCCCGACGCGTCCTAGCTATAAGAAAGTCCGTAGATAACTAAGAAACACGTCGTCGTCTCCAAAAGACGTCCAGCGTCTAAAAGCGACGCCTTGTTACTAAGAATATAAGGGTAAAATCTCGTCGACGGAGATAGACTTATACAAGTGCAATGCATATGAAAGAGACCGAGGAAAAATAGTCGCGAAATAAGACAAAGACCTAAATATGCAAGTTTAATATTTCCAAGCGAGAAAGGAAACGTTCGCAAGGGTTGAAAGCGAGAAGTATTTACACAAGAAGAACGCGTTAGACAGAGAACGGAGACACCTTAGAATTTCATCTTAACGGCACGCATGCGTTGGCTCGTAAGGAGTAGCGATGTCTATCCCCACCAAGGGGGTTGAGAAAAAATTGCTCCTTGTTATTTTTTCGCGCGCCCCACCACTTTCAGGAGAGTATCGGCAAGTTGCGAGGGAGTTTTTATATCGGACTTAGGTTAGAGTGGACAGCGTGTGCCAGTTTGGGACTGGTGTGAGGGTGAGTTAGGGTGCAAGATGCACATGGTTTGTTTGGGTTTTTTATGCGTGAAATGTTTTCGTGATGCGTTCATACGGGGTGTAACATTTCTCATGACGGTAATGATTGTATTGATTCATTTATAAAAATGTGCTTTCTTGTGACGGAAAAAAATTCTCGAAAATACTTACTTATTTTTTATATGATTTCCCCGAGTATCTTCAAATGATGCTTGATCATGATTGTACAGGGTTTGTCTATGATATGTATTGTACAAAATTTCACTAACAGTTGTTGACATTTCTTCAAATTTCATTTCTTCCTTTCTTAACTTTCATGTTTCGTCAGTCCACGCAAATTTCAAGAAGAATAAAGTATGTTCCTGTTCTTAATATTGCGATAAACTATCGAGAAATGGTAAAGGGAAGTTGGAATAATTTCATCGAGGCTGAAATGATCCTGACTCTGCCTGTGGGCGAACATGATTTGAATATTTTTGTTTGGAAATTCTTCTTTTCAGATATAAATGTAAAAAATATATTGGTCACTTTTGTTGTAATCTTTTCATACACTGGGATTCCAATTAATACATATTATATTCATTCATTATTGAAACTTTACATTTTGGAAAATTCAGCTAGAAATATTTCAAATTTTAATATTTCTTTTCGAATTTTTGCCAAAATACATTCATTCCTGAAATACTTCAGGGATTTAATAAGAGCAACATTCAATATTGATCTTATAAACAAAATTCATGAATATTGAAGTATAATATTTCAGTCATAAGATGTTAATTCATTTGATTCAGGTTTTGAAATCAAAATTTTTCATTTTGATTCATACGCTTTATAAGCTTTTTCAAGAAGATAAGATAACTAATCGAATTACTAACAGTTCCGTGGTTCATTTGAGAAGAAATTGATTTGATCATAGTATGTTCAGTGAAATTATATTTATATATTTTTCGAAGCAGTTTACTCAATCATTGACATTTTTTTGTGATATTGATGACTTATTTATTTTGTGGAAATTCATCGTCAATTAAATGAAGTCGTATTAATATCAATACATTAAGTAAGTGGAAATTAGACAAAGTATTTCATTTCTATATCTATATCATTCAATTGACATTTTTATGATGGATTAATAAATTGTTCAAGAGCAGATTTCTTGTGTTGAATAATAATTTTAATACTCTTTTTTTCTGGGAACGCCCAATTGGTTTGATAGTTTTTATTAGAAGTGATGCTGAAGAAATTCATTCTCAAATTGATTGTTTGATATTAGTTGAAAATGATCACTTGAATATGGGTGGTATATGTCATATCATCATTTATTTTTCTCATTATTTAATGAAATTATTTTTCCCACTCACCAGAACTAGAGATTTTTTGTCGAGGAAAAAGAGTTCCGGTGTATGGTAACTAAATACCAAGTTTCTTCATTATCACAAATATATTGTGAAGGATTTTTCCAATATAAATGATGTTCAATAATAGCACTACATCAAAATACTATGAAAATAATTCATGTCCCAATGACGACTTAAACTGACCGAAACGCTCAAATATTGAAAAGGTTTTTTCAAATCAATCATACGATTGGAAATACATCATTTAATATACTTGAAATGTGAAGTGTTATATTGCTCAATCAAGAGATTGGAAAAACATAGTGGTCTTAAACTCTTTTAATTCTCCTATTCAGTGATCTGTGGAAAAAGGAAAATGGTTCACGATTTGTAAATGGATATATTTCATTTCTAAGTACTCACAATATTAATATTCAGTAGCTACAATGATGATAGGATTCATTTTAAGGCAATGGCTAGATTGCTTTGTTTTGGAATTTGATTTTTATGAATATCCTGTATAAGTNATTTAATAGATTAAATAGGCAGCTAGTACACCTAGGTGGAAAAGGTGTCTCAGAAGTTAATTGTTCTTGTGTATAAAGTGCTTGTATGAAAACAATTGTAAGATAGTACAATGAAGAATTAACACTCTTTTTAAACTTATACATTATCCAACATTTGTTTAATAATGTTATTCTCAAGTTTTAAGGTATCACTTATTATTGAGAAAAAACATTATTTTCTAGTTGATATATTTCAAATATCAAAAACACCATATGTCTTCCGTCAGGACTGTTGTTGAGACCATATATACTTCATTGTCTAAAAATAATCGATTTTTTCATTGATTTAGGTACATACTACCTATAATTTCTTTCACGAAAGTTTCGATTCCTAGAATTACATACTTCTATACGAATAGTACAGAAGGTAAAACTTCAATTTCACTATTTAGCCAACAATTTATGATCTGAGACAATGTTTACTGGGAAGAGAACTGAATTATCATGTTTCAACTTTTTCTTGGCGAAACTTCAACAAGGAGAACACCAAAAAATATAAAAACACTTCTACTGCCAACTAAAATGGAAAAGTTAAATTTTTATTGGTTTCAGTTTTATTTTTGATTATCACTATGATTATTTGGTAAACCATCTGATGCATTTATCAAGAAGGATTATCAACCAACTGCGAATTGGAAAGACAATAAATTTGGAATAATTGAATAGGCCGATACTTGATGAAAATCCATATTAAAACTCATTAATAGAGTTTATTGTATGATTTTCATTATAAAGGGTTTTACAAAAACTGCGACACGTGTTTTGCTATGCAATAGCTTTCACAAGCATTAATAACCAACGCTTGAGAAAGATATTGTATAGCGTCAATAGGTAAAGATGTATATCAACTCAACATTTTACTGATTTACTTGATTTTCGGCAACCCTTACTAAATTTCGATGCTTCTTACTTTCAAACGGGGATATATTTTGAATCGATATTGAAAGAGATTAATGGCTTCTCAAATATTTCATAAATAATTTTTTTTGCAGATGATAACCAAAATATTCTGAAAGATTATCAAGTTTCTTCATTATCACAAATATATTGTGAAGGAATTTTTCCAATATAAATGATGTTCAATAATAGCACTACATCAAAATACTATGAAAATAATTCATGTCCCAATGACGACTTAAACTGACCGAAACGCTCAAATATTGAAAAGGTTTTTTCAAATCAATCATACGATTGGAAATACATCATTTAATATACTTGAAATGTGAAGTGTTATATTGCTCAATCAAGAGATTGGAAAAACATAGT